ATTTCAAGTAGCATCCCATGATGAACGACAAAAGGATCATATATCTTTACGTCAGAAAATTTGAAACTGGTTTTTTTAAGAGAAAAGTAGACGCAATCCATACGTGAAAAAAGTGAGACTGTACCAGCTCCGATTACATATATTTCAAATAAATAATTAACATATTTTCATCACCTATGAATAACATGTACAGTAAATTGTAATATTAAAAGGCCTCTAGGCCCGGGCCACATTGCAGTCCCAGCAGGTTGGAGTCAAGTCCGTCAAACATACGTTGTGTGAATGTACATTGAAATTATATTTCACGCATCACTCTAGCTGTTAACAATGAAGTACTGTTAAAAGTGGTGTTAAACCCAACTCACTCACTGTTAACAATGAAGCTTTAACACAGACGATATGGAGGGCACGGATAGCGCCAGATGGTGGGGCATAGTCCTCCTTTAAATGATTAAAAATCAAGATTTTGACTGTTAAATATATAAATAATGGTCAGAACTTCGTCAAGGGACTACGCTGACGATCTTAAGCCCGGTCCCACGTGCGCCTGTCCCGTGAAAATTCCGGTTAAAATTGGTCTTCAGCAATCCATGCTTGTCGTAAGAGGCGACGAACGGGATCGGTCGGTCAGGTTCGCTGACATGGTTGATGCATTTCATCGTACCCCAGTTGTGTAGATCAATGCTGATGATGTATTGCTGAGTGTGGCAAACAAATCCCATGAGCGCCTAGAAGATGTGTTAGTGATGTGTGTCCGATGAAAGAGGCGACTGACGGAATCGGGTGGTCAGAATCGCTGACTCGGTTGATACATCGTTTCCAATTTATGTAAATGGACGCTCATGATGTCAATCACTTGACTGTCTGGTCAAGACTCGATTATTTACACCCCGCTGTCATACAGCTGAAATATTGCGGAATGCGGCGTTAAATAAACAAACAAACAAACAAACAAAACACATATCATAAAGAATATTACATCTCCAATGTATTGTTATACATACCCTGGGCTTATTCTCGACTACAGCTTCAAGCTTCGAGCCCGAGTGCGACGTTAAACAACAATTAAACACACAAACAAACATTCTGGCAGATGTAAATATTGATCTGCAGGTAGTGAAGACCCTAATGTTTGTTTGTTTGTTGTTATACGCTATTCCATCTATATGACAGCGGTCTGTACAATAATCGAGTCTGGACCAGACAATCCAGTGATTGACATCATGAGCATCGATATACGCAATTGGGATACGAGGACACGCATCAACCATGTCAGCGACAACAAACAACAAACAAACTACCAACCACCAAAGCAATGGCGAGACGTCCCGATTCATAACAATCCGCAAAACAATATCAGATAAAGATCTTGAAATGTTGTGGCAGTCGGTGACTGTAGAACAGTCGTTTCCAGCAGCTTGATTAAATCAAAGCTTTTTAGAAGAACTTCGTCCCTCGAGGAAGAAACTCGTTTGAACTGAAGGGAATTTGCAGCTTGTTCACGGTTCAACATACTAAGGGAGGCAAATCCAGGTTACGCACCTGTGGTAAGTGAGGAAGAGTAGGCTCCCTTAGAAATGGAACCCACAAATGCCACGTCACAACGAATGATCAAATATCAGATCAAGTAAACATATCGTTATTATCTTTACGGTTTAATTTGGTTGGGGTCGGAAATACATCAGTGTAAATAGTAGAGATTTAAAAAGTGAGATAAAGGATAATTTTGACGAATTTGTTTATCAAGCTTGCTACCAGGTAACGACCACCTGTTACCATTCGGCCGCGATAGGTTTTTCCTTCTTCGTTAGAAGTGCGTATGACCATATGTAAGGGGGTATAGCTCAGTGGTAGAGCATTCGACTGCAGATCGAGAGGTCCCCGGTTCGATCCCGGGTGCCCCCTCAGCTTTTTATTTATATATCAGTGTTCTTTCCAAATTAATTGTACTTGTCAGGCATTCCATGATCGGTTCACTGTTCTGTAATAAGGTTAATTGCATCTGAGTCTGTACCATCGAACTTTCACTGAACGATATATGTCATAAAGGTACCACTAAGATTCTCTCTCTCTCTCTCTCTCTCTCTCTATATATATATATATATCATGTTGACAGTCTTCATACATTCTGAATGCGACTATGTTTGTCGTAAGAGGCGACTAACGGGATCGGGTGGTCAGGCTCGCTGTCTTGGTTGATGCATGTCATCGTATCCCAATTGCGTGGATCGATGCGCATGATGTCAATCACTGGATTGTCTGGTCCATACTCGATTATTTACAGACCGCCGTCACACAGCTGGAATATTGCTGAGTGCGGCGTTAAACAGGAAACAAACAAACAAACTACCCGCCACCAAAGCAATGGCGAGACGTCCCGATTCGAAACAATCCGCAAAACAATATGAGATAAAGATCTTGTTGTGGTAGTCGGTGACTGGAGAACAGTCGTTTCCAGCAGCTTGATTAAATAAAAGCTTTTTAGAAGAACTTCGTACCTCGTGGAAGAAACTCGTTTGGACCGAAGGGAATTTGCAGTCTGATCGCGGTTGAACATACTAAGGGAGGCAAATCCAGGTTACGCACCTGTGGGAAGTGAGGAAGAGTAGGCTCCCTTAGAAATGGAACCCACAAATGCCACGTCACAACGAATGATCAAACATCAGATCTAGTAAACATATCGTTATTGTCTTTAGGGTTTATTTTGGCTGGGGTCGGAAATACATCAGTGTAAATAGTAGAGATTTAAAAAGTGAGATAAAGGATAATTTTGACGAATTTGTTTATCAAGCTTGCAACGACCACCTGTTACCTTTCGGCCGCGATAGGTTTTACCTTCTTCGTTACAAGTGCGTATGACCATATGTAAGGGGGTATAGCTCAGTGGTAGAGCATTCGACTGCAGATCGAGAGGTCCCCGGTTCGATCCCGGGTGCCCCCTCAGCTTTTTATTTATATATCAGTGTTCTTTCCAAATTAATTGTACTTGTCAGGCATTCCATTATCGGTTCACTGTCTGTAATAAGGTTAATTGCATCTGGGTCTGTACCATCGAACTTTCACTGAACGATGTATATCATATAGGTACAACTGAGATTTTCTCAAAATATACATATATCATGTTGACAGTCTTCATACATTCTGAAGGCGACTAAGTCGTAAGAGGCGACTAACGGGATTGGGTGGTCAGGCTCGCTGATTTGGTTTTTGCATGTCATCGAACCCAGTTGCGTAGATCGATGCTCATGATGTCAATCACTGGATTGTCTGATCCAGACTCGATTATTTTCAGACCGCCGACATATAGCTGGAATATTGCCGAGTGCGGCGTTAAACAAACAAACAAACAAACAAAGAAAGAAGAAAACGAATCATACATGTATTCTACTGTTTCAACAGTTTTAATGGGATAAAAAAAGGACTGGTCGGTTCGGAGACTGAGTTGGGTATCCATGTTAATCTGCGGTATTGTATCGCGGGCTAGGACTTTTTATAAAGCCAACATAGGTCCGGACTAGTACAAGCAAACACACACACAGAGCAGGAACGCGCTCACGCACACACATACGTATACGCTATGTAAGTGCAATAAACCCCACCTCACCTCACCTCACATATAACATAGGTAACTTGACCTACATTGAACTGGTAGGTCACGGGCTTAAAGTGTGATTTCTCATGTGATGTGCCCTGGTACCGATCTACTTCCATCCATTCAAAAACACCTTTACTCTCGCAAACATACTTGTACCCATACACGCATACATCTACAATTCCATGCATACTATTACATACATACCCATGTATATATACCTATGTCATGCATACAGATCTACATGCATGCAACTTTACCAATACGAATACCCATGTACACATACTTTCACCAGTGCATACTGGTGCCAATATATACATACCAATGCATATATACCCGTATCCATGTATAAATACTTATACTCATGCATACCTACCATTACCCATGCATACCTACCATTACCCATGCATACATACCATTACCCATGCATACATACCATTACCCATGCATACATACCTGCACTCATGCATACATACCTGTACTCATGCATACATACCATTACCCATGCATACATACCTGTACTCATGCATACATACCTCTACTCATGCATACATACCATTACCCATGCATACATACCATTACCCATGCATACATACCTGTACTCATGCATACATACCTGTACTCATGCATACATACCTCTACTCATGCATACATACCTCTACTCATGCATACATACCTGTACTCATGCATACATACCTGTACTCATGCATACATACCTCTACTCATGCATACATAGCTGTACTCATGCATACATACCTCTACTCATGCATACATACCTGTACTCATGCATACATACCTGTACTCATGTATACATTCTTATACATATGCATACATACTACCCGCATGTGGGTTCTGGGTTTGGAGTGGTCTCACCAGCCTTTGCTGGTCGTAAGAGACGACATAAGTATTAATACATACCTACACCTATGCATATAGTCCTGTACCCATACGAACAGTGTGTATACAATTAGCATTTGCGTATGTCAATGCGCTTCAATGACAATTAGTATACACATTTAGTATACTGTACACTGTGTTAACGGACATTTAGTAAGAGTATTTCGTTAACACATGTAAGTCCTCCCACCCCCAACCCACCCCCAACCCACCCCCAAATCAACCCCTACATACTCCACCCTAACACCCTCTCCACCCTACCCTACACCCCCCCCCCCCCCCCCCCCCCCCCCACACACACACACACATACACACACACCCTACCCCACATACACACACCCTTACCACGGACCTATCCACGTCCGTGCCCTCATCAAAGGTTTGTTATCGTCGTCTTCGTCCGGCAACTCTCGGCAGTTGTCGGCATGAATAGGTCGATTGAATGTTATGTAACACAAAGCCCTTTCACGATCCATGACACACGCGGCGAGTGAGGATGCACGCTTCTCAGCATGCACGTGCAGTTTCCCCAAAACATCGAAACAATAAATCTCTGACTTGTCAGTCTTGTTTTGATTTGTCATCGTTGGGATGAACCCTAACGCATTGAACATTAAGACTGTCAACCTTGGTATTAAAAGGATCATTCTCTTCACAATCTAAGGTAAGTTTGATATTGACTTAATCTTTGTTCAGCCATCGGCGAATGTACACATTTATCAGGGGATATTCTGTACTTTTGATGATTTGATATGCGGTGATATAATCGTGTACTTGACACATCCTATCAGGGTAAACCTCCCATGTTTTCAGGGTAATAATTGCCCCGTTGTAGCCCATGCTTGTAGCCAGGGGCTTAGCGACTATCGAGATGGGATGGTACGGCTCCGTGACGATATGTCGTGGGCACGGTTGGCATGATGGCTCCCTAGTCATCGTAGTCGTCGCATTTCGCTGTGCAACTGTGTGAGTGTGTCTCTTAGACTTGCCACCAACCCGCGATCGTTGATCGTGTGTGTGTGTGTCTGTCTGTCTAAAAGTTGCCTCCCTGGGCGAACCAGAAACCTAGAAACAAAGAAACCTAGAAACAAAGAAACCTCGTTTGATCGTGCGTGTGAATTCCAGGTTCGCCCTGATCGTGTTTCCAGGTTTTTCAGCGTCGTACCCGTCATCGTGGGTTTCACAAAACTAACAATCGTCTAAGAAATACACACAATTTGGGCTTTCCTCCCACGTCAAGATGATGCAACCCCCCCCCCCCCCCCCTTTTTTCACATTTTGCCTGGGTTAGGCCCTAGACCTAACTAACCTTACATAAATGATTTTGTATGATTTCCAGTTAGAGGTTTTATTTTTTTAAAAGTGAGGGGGTTTTACCCAATTCAAAATATCTGAAATGTACACAGGCTACACGAAAAAGTAAAATATTTGAGTGAGTTTGGTTTAATACCGCTTAAAAGTAGCTGGAAATCTCGATGTGATTCGTGTCTTTGCCGTTTATCACTTACTGGGTGAAACCCAGTAACTTGCTGCCAAACCTGGAATCTAATCAGGGAGAACCGGCATTCGAACCCACGATCATAGGGTTGTGCACGTTAAAGGGCTTCAAGGGGTCCGGGTGGTCCAGTCGTCTCACGTGTGGAGAGTTGCGTCTCTTGGGCACGCCAGAAATCTATGATCGTGGGTTCGAATCCCGGTTCTCCCCGATTTTGTTTCTAGGTTTGTCAGCACCATACCCGTGCTCGTGGGTTTCACCGAAGTGGTAAACGTCTGAGACCTGCATCATTTCGGGCTTTCCTCCAACATCAAGCTGACGCGCCGTGATATAACTGCAATACTGTTAAAAGCGGCGTTAAACCCAACTCACTCACTCACTCGAAGGGCGTTAAGTCTGCACAGCGGATTACAGCGCCCCCTCTACCTTTCATCAATAGCATGACGATATACAATGTGAGTTAACAAAATAATGTCGGAACGTCTTATTATGATTTCAGCCTGGACAATGTTTTGTCGAGGAGTGATATCCGCGCTCATTGTTGCGTTGCTAGGCAACATCATCACCAGCAACAGAACTGATCCAACTTATCACGAAAACGACGGAGTCCGATTTATGTCCAAAAGGGCACGAGAGTCATGTCTGATCCAGCCATGTGTCCAATCCAACAGCGAGGACTCCGGAACTGTCCCAGTTATCATATCATCAGTGATCTTTTCACTGCTGGTTCTTGCAGGAGTGGGCTGCCTTCTGTGGAAGAAGTGTCTGCGGAACATAAGACGTGGTCCAACCGAGACTAGGTCTTCCGTCCAGTTCCGCAGAAATGACAAGATGAAGACGCCCGTCAAACTAGCATCAATGACCAGCATGAACATCGACCTGGACCATCTTCCCGACAACGACCTCTACTCCTCTGAAAGTGACGACAATGACTGCTTCCCTGAAGGAATAGATCTCTCCATGGTGGACTCCTTTAACATGGACCCCGTCGCCTCCTGTTCCCCCTACCACCTTGCATGGACTACTCCTAAGGGATACAAAATACGGACTCAGGGATCGTCCTTTCGAGAACAGGAGGTGTGTTCATGTACTGTCGTGAACGAATGTGATAACCGATCTCTTAACAGATCTCCCGAAATAGAACCCGGCCAGGTGAAAAAACGGCAGAAGTCTGGAGATGGAGACACGTCAATCGCCTCGTCAACTCCATATCGGACACCCAAGGTAGGCTATGCACATGGGCGTCCGCACCCTACGCCTATAGAACGACTGACGTCCATCAAGCCTGGTCGCAGTACGGCAAGCAAGCTGCCCTTCTCTCCAACCAGACACGATTACCCAGTAACTCCTGTGACACTGTTCCTGGAGAAGAGGCGGTTCTCGGCTCAAACCCCAGTACAGCGTCTCCTGGAGATTCAGCCCCGGGGCTATCAAGGATCTGATGACGCCAGCAGAATGGATGATTCGCTTCTGTGGGACAGCTACCCTTTCAGGCCTCAAGAAGAATCGCTTGTCTGGGATGATGACCTTTTCGAATCTGAAACAAAATCTGTACCTAAAGTGGACGAAAACTGCAACGATCCCAATTTTATTTCCTTAGAGATATGACCCGTTAGTAAAAAAAACATTGAGATTCAAATTGATATATAGTGACCCATTAGCCCGGACCTTTTGCTCTGGACTGTTTATCCGGAGCAAGGGTAGTCCGTTGAAGCTAGCGTCTACATGTACAGAAAGGGACATTATTCCATTGACAAAATTTGTCAAATCTCTTGGCACGGATCGTCCGGATTAGCGAGGTGGTGATGCTCTGAGAGGAAAAGAACATCTCCGTATGGTTGGATCACTCAAGTATGTGGGTGCACGGGTGGTCCAGTCGTCTGAGGCGCCACGATTCGCTGTTCAGAGTGGCGTTCCTTGGGCACGCCAGAAACCTATGATTGTGGGTTCGAATCCCTGTTCGCCCCGATTATGTTTCTAGGTTTGTCGGCACCATACCTGTGCTCGTGGGTTTCACCGAAGTGGTAAATGTCTGAGACCCTCATCACTTCGGGCTTACCTCCCACATTATGCTTGCACACCGTGATATAACTGGAATACTGCTAAAAGCGGCGTTAAACCCAACTCACTCACTCACTCATCAAGTGTGTTATTACGTTTTCACTAAAGCAGACAATAGAAATTCATATCAAACTCAATGTCGATCTGTTGGAGGTTGTACTGTCTTTGTTTCATCTTTCTTTGTATGGCAATTTTTCCCGGGAATGTTTCGATTTCAAATTGTATTCATCCAAACCAGTGGGAAGGTGTGGTTTTCAAGTAGTATCGATTTTATTGACGATGATTAGAACAAAAGGGACGCTCACATTACAGCATGTTTATTTTATTCTAGTGCTTGTCAATACACCGTGAAATAGTGCTACGTTTTTTTCCCATCCTGTGTCGAAATCAATAACTATTGTCCTCAACTAATTTTAGTTCGTAATAACCGTAGGCTTTTAAATGCATATATATAATCAAACTACAGTAAACTTCGTTTATAACAAACACGATTATAACGATCTGACCGAATATAACGAGCTTATTTCTAGGCCTGGGAATTTCTTGCATATACGATTATATATATCGTATATGCAACAAATTTCAAGGTCTAGAAACATGCTCGTTATATTCGGTCAGTTCGTTATCATCGTGTTCGTTATAAACGTAGTACACTGTAGTTTGATTATCGTTGGCATGAGGGACGTGGGAGAGAAGAGGTTGGAACGGGTGGGGTTGCATTAGGGGACGGGGTAGCTCAGCTGAGGAGGTTCAGAATCATTGTTTTATTGGATGTATGTGTACGTAAAGACGATCATTGTTTCTTTCCTAAGGAATCGTGTCACTATGGCTTCCAGTTTTCGTGTATTTCTTCCATGTCCATAATAGTTTGAGGCGGGTAGGTGCGTCTGATCCACATGGTACATTCCACTGTAAACAGGGAGAAAGCCATGTTGAAGTAAACATGTTTTATTATTACAAGTGCATTTTACTTACCTTATACGCATATATTGATTACTTTTACAGTTAAGCAATATCTGTTTTATCTTTAGATGATACAGGAATTCAAAATTGACCCACCAAGCAGTATGCATGTATACTCACAAATCCGGGGAATTTGTATGTACACAATTCGAAACGCCATGATTCTTTTTCTTTTAAGATTCAAAGGCGTTTTAATGTTTTAAATCCAAGCTCTGTCCAGCATCTATTTCCAAAAGTAGTAGTAGCATATTTTCATTCCTTAATATAGCTGTGACTTACGTTCTTACCTTACACGAATTAAAACGACATTAAGCTACCGTTCGAACTGGACTGGTTCGCTGTGAACAATCAACGGATTACTCGGTCTGTATAAAAATATAGCCCATATGGTATTATTTTCATGTTTCAGTTATCAATAAAGCAGTGTTTGGTCAGTTACTGTCATCTTTCAGTATATAATAAGACATACTACTCAGAAGAACCTTAAGAACACCTTATTCTTTCACATTACTATAAATAATCAGGCATGACTGACTACATATTGTGATAGGATAGAATTGGATGATCCTTAATCTCTTTTAAGTAGTATATGTCAACTAATGTCGCTAAACTGTATAATCTGTCTGTCCAGTTTTGTACAAAGCCCTAGAATCAATCGATTTCAACTGCATTTAAATTTAGAAATCAAACTTTGTATTACGTTCATTTCGTTAAACAATGATATTATCAAGACCCTGTATTCAGACAGGGGGCACGGGTGGCCTAGTTGTCTTAGGCGCCGTGATTAGCTGTGCAGAGTTGCGTCCCTTGGGCACGCCAGAAACCTATGAATGTGGGTTCAAATCCCGGTTCGACCCAATTATGGTTCTCGGTTTGTCAGCACCATACCCGTGCTCGTGGGATTCACCAAAGTGAAAGTCTGAGACCTGCATCACTTGGGGCTTTCCTCCCACATTAAGCTGACACGCCGTGATATAACTGGAATAATGTTAAAAGCGGCGTTAAACCCAACTCGCTCACTCACACTATATTTAGACCTCATTTGACAACAGGCATGCAGACCTTAAATATCCATCATTTACTTAAGTGTATGTACACATAAAATATGCCCGAATGCCGTTCCTGGTCACAGGCGTGTAATGACTTTTGAGACAGTTTTTGCCTTTTACTGTAAATAAAAGTAGTTTCTTATTTCATAGTATGTTTATTTGTGGTCTTCAAATGGTGGTGAGTGCAAGAGTTGTCTAACCTTCAGAAGCGCCACAATTAGCAGTGCAGAGGTGCGTCCCTTATGCGTGCCCGAACGCTATGGTGGTAACATGACTTGACGATTCGTCACTACTCGCCCCTTTCGGTAACCTGTAAGAAGACTCGTTCCCATATCGATTAATGTTACGTGTGAAAATGCGACGAACCAATCACAATGCACGTATGACTCGGTCAAAGAATCCATCGGGAATATTTTTTTAAAATTTTACACATGTCTTGCATCTATGAATATACCCTCGATACAGTTAAATGTGTTTAATCATACTGTACAAGTACCATAAGTGCCGATGTGTTTAAATAACATCTGGAATATAAATGACATGGGGGAAATATTATTGAATGAATACGCAATGAGTTGACAATTCTTTTAACTAGGCCCCTCACCGCTCAGACGGAACCAAGTCGCCAAAAAGGTCACGAGAGGGTCATGAGTCGCTGTTCGGCTTATCCCGGAATAACACGATTGGTCAGGAATGCTTTTCGCCCTGATGATGATTCTTGATTTGTTAGCCACATACAAGTGTTCGTGGGTTTGACCAAAGTGGTAATTGTCCAGCAAATGTATGATTGAGAGATTACTTCACACATCAAGCTGACATGCCGTTGTATAACTGAAATACTGTCCAAAAGCTGTGTTCAACCCAAATCACATGCTCACTGCAAGCAATCGAGTTTATTTGTCACAATTTAAACCATTGGTTTGTGGAACGATCAAACTAGCATGGTAAAATATAATGACAAAACATATGCAATTATTATATTAGTGTTATTTGGTCTTACGTCAAGGATGGAGAATTAGGGGTGTTCCTTGTCCCGAAGATACTCCTTCATCTGTGTGACAAACAAGTATGTCCTGGGCCCACTTGCACAAAGCAATCTCAGCGCAACGACTATTATAAGCCCACGTTAAAGTATGGGAGTTACGATCATCTCAGCGCTAAGATCGCTTTGTGCAAATGGGCCCTGATTGTTAGCGTCTTGCACTGGGGGCTGCTTTTCAACTAAAGGGTGATGTAATGGTACGGGTAAGATATTTTGGGGGTGGGGGTTGTTTTTACCAGAAAGGAAGACATCGGTTAAGAGGTTTGTGGGGCGTGGGTGGTGCCTTTTACCAAAAAGGGTTTTTTAGGGTGGCTTCAGAAAACGTCTTTCTCACTGGAATTGAAAAGCTTCATTATCGATATGAGAAGTGCATTGAAAAGCTCACTGACTTGGTTCATGCATGTCATCGTATCCCAATTTCGTGGATTCATGCTCATGATGTTAATCACTGGATTGTCTGGTCCAGACTCGATTATTTACGGACCACCGTCATATAGCTGGAATATTGCTGAGTGCGGCGTTAAAAAAACACACATTATAACAGTTTGTAGACGTAGGATGTTTTGTAGGGTGAGATGCCTTTAACCAAAAAGGAATAGGGGCGGTCGGGTAGCCTAGTGGTTAAAGTGTTCGCTCGTCACGCCGAAGACACGGGTTCACGGGTACAATATGTGAAGCCCATTTCTGTGTCCCCCGCCGTGATATTGCTGGGGTATTGCTAAAAGCGGCGTAAAACTATACTCACTCACTCACAAAAAGGAAGACATCAGGGTTTTTATGGGTCCATTAAAGAAAAGGATGGTTTGTTGGTTGGGGTAGCGCCTTTTACCACAATGGAACACATCAGGGTGTTTATGACAGATTATAGATGTAGGATGGTTTGTTTAGTGGGGTGCCTTTAACCAGAAGGGAACACATCGGGGTGTTTATGGCAGATTATAGTTGTAGGATGGTTTGTGGGGTGGGGTGCCTTTAACCAGAAAGGAAGACATCGGGGTGTTTATGACAGATCATAGATGTAGGATGGTTTGTGGGATGGGGTGCCTTTAACCAGAAAGGAAGACATCGGGATCTTTATGACAGATTATAGATGTAGGATGGTTGGTTTGGTGGGGTGCCTTTAACCAGAAAGGAAGACATCGGGGTGTTTATGACAGATCATAGATGTAGGATGGTTTGTGGGATGGGGTAAAGGTTAACCAGAAAGGTTGGTTGGTTGGTTTTTGTTTAACACCACTCTCAGCAATATTCCAGCTATATAACGGTCAAGTCTGGACCAGACAATCCAGTGATTGACATCATGAGCATTGTTCCACGCAATTGGGATACGATGGCATGCATCAACCAAGACAGCGAGCCTGACCACCCGATCCCGTTAGTCGCCTCTTACGACAAGCATGGGTTGATGAAGACCCACCCCGGGTCGTCACTGGTAGAAAGATTATAGACTTAGGGAAGTTTGTCGGTTGGGGTGGTACCTTTAATACATAAAAGGAGGACACCGGGGTATTTGCGACAGATTGTAGAGGTAGGGATGTTTGTTGGACGGGATGGTGCCTTTAAACATAGTGGAAGACATCAGCCTACGGATAAGATAAATAAAGCTCGGACATTTCTATTGGGGAAACGTTTCAATACATATTTGAGAACACTAGGCACATGTTAACTTTATTTTCGATCATCCAAATTTCAAATAAACGTTGGATAATAATTTGATACTTGCCATGTTTGTTAAATCCATTTATTACTTGCCAGTGAAGAGGTCACCCGTTTAATAAACATACAGCTGTATTACACATTGTGTAATACCAAAACGCGTGCTTATGTACACTCGGAACACGTTCACGAACAAATATTGAAAGTTATCAACA